AGAGTATCTCAAATTTATGTTTCAGTTTTCCAGATATTCACATTAGTAAGAATATCTTCTTTCAGCACTAAAGGATTACATCAGAATTGTATTCCCCCCCCCCCTTTTATATGATTAAAATAGCACCCATTTTGCAGTTTAGATGATCGGTGCTTTATTGATTGCAGGTTGCCATAGGAAATCACGAGTTGGGCCCCTCATTATAAGTTTAACTGGAAAGGTAACACATAATATAATTCCCATGAAGGGTTTTTTGTATACATACTTCTTTAGTCATCTGTATTTGCAAAACTACTCCACAAATTAACTTTGAAAACAAATACCCCCAAAATCAACAAATCTTCAACTTTGGTAACTTTGTAGCTACAATTTGAAACTATGACCAAAATAGTCACATTTTTACTAACTATATCGAAAAAATTGATGACTCGTTGACGTATTTACTTATTCCTTTTTTTTTCTTTTTTGGTGGGGGGTGGGTGGGTTGGGGGAGGGGGAGTCTTCCAAAGTTGACGATTTTGGGGTAGCTGTGCAAATACTGAGATTTGGGGCCTGGTTTTGCGAATACACATGATTTAAGGAATACAGGCGCGCGCACACAAAATCTATAAAATATGACCCAATTCATTTTTTTGTCACATGAGAAAAGCTAGAAGCTACATTGTTTCTTAAACGCATATTAGTATATTACTGGATTTTCTTTGTAACACTTTTACATTATTTCCATTTTTTACACCTTTAACAACACAATTTGCTTCAGGACCAAAAAAGAGTAGAATTGGCTGCCAAGGAATTGTCTCAGAAGTTCCCTGAAGGAGCATTTTCTGAAGTGACTTACAAATAATTCTGATGCCTCATTTGGAGCTTTTGCGCTGTGATGAGTTTTGCTGCTAATCTAATCAATTAACGGAAGGAGAAAATGGCTTTCCATTTGTTTCTGATTCAGAATAAACAGTATTTCCCCAACATTTCAGCGCAAAATGCAATTTTGATGTGAAAATATGCCTGGAATTCTTCACAGATGGTAGTCAACATTTATAAGTGTCCCTTTGAAGCTGGGGAGGCTTATAATTTATTGTTATATTATTGGTTAAAGGGAGATAATTTTACAATATCTAAACGTAATAGATATTTTGCATACTGCTGTCATATAAGCATAGCTTTCTAGCAATGCATCAAAAGGAAATAATAAAGGTGTATCTCTATTATATCGTCATCGTCTTCATTAAAAGAATCTGCTCGAGTTTCGAAAATTTGTCATTCTCTTGAAGAGAGAGGAAATATATGGATACTGGAAATTTTAGTTTTTAGATGTTGCTGGTGTTTTGGCTCTAGAAGTTATTTGCATATAAGATTACTGTCTCTATTGTTAGATCAATATTTCACAGTATGCTATAGTTGTGTATAGTTGTGGTTTATGCAGGTTCAGTTGGAATGGTTATTGAAACTGCTACCGCCAAACTCTCAATAAGTTCTGCACATGGATAAGCTTTCATGATTTCAACGCATATTTCATCATTTCATTTACATTATAGTAAATATTTTCCATAATATGGAGTTATTAAATCAGATGAATATTTGAAGTGAGACTGAGATGCTGATATTAAGCTCTACCATTTTGAATCAAATAGATTTGTATTGGAAAATGCTAGTGCTGAGGGGTGCTTGGCCTGTGATGGACACACGATTTACTAGTAAACCGTATAACTCTGACTCCTAGGCCTGGTTTGATGCACGGAAATGAGCGAGAATGAAATGCCAACTTTCAATTATTCATTCGTACTCAATATAACCTCTTTTTGGAAGCTAGAATGTTCATTCCCTTCCATCTCATTGAAAATGTTCATACCCACAAAGTGGTAATGAATAAAAAATGGAGGTCTTATTTGATATGTGGGAATAAGTGAGAATGGAATGACAATTCACATTTCTCATTCCTTTGTACAGAACAAAATCTCTTTTTATAAGGGAGAACTTATTCTCACTTTATGTGGGAATTAGCATCCCCAATAAGATGGTAGTCATTCTCACTTTTAAATGAGAATAAAAAAATACATATGACTTTCAAATATGTATTTTCCCACTTTATTTTTTTAGATCGCATCCAAATGTGAGAATGAAAATAATCGTCCTATTTTAATATTAATTCCATTCCAATCCTTGCTTTATTTCATTCTGTGTACCAAGGAGGCGCCGTAGAGCGTTTGAAACACCCTCAAAATTTGAGAGGGAGGTTTTTGTTCTTACTAATTAAGAATAAGACTGATAAATTAGTTTCACACGTAGCTTGGACTAACCTTTGCTCAGTTGGTAGTGGTAGGGCTGTCCATCCGGGCCGGGCAAAACCGAAGCCCGGACCCGAGCCCAGTTGACTCGGGCCGGGCTCCGGACCGGCCAGGTTTTCTTTGTTATTTAATTTTTTAAGAATACAAAGCAAAAAATAAACACAATTTTGATTAAAAAAATTATATTATTAATCAATTATAATTATGTAATTTACAAATATAAAAAATTATAGAAACTAAAATAATATAAAATAATTATAGAACTTATAGAAACAAACAAAATTAAAAATAATTGTAGACCTCTAAATATATATGTTGTGGCTAGGATTTGAACCACTAACCTCCTCTCCAAACTCTTAAACTTTACCACTAAACTAAATAGCCCAAAGTATTCATGTAATTCAATATATGTATATGTATATATTATATACCACTAAACTAAATAGCCCAAAGTATTCATGTAATTCAATATATGTATATGTATATATTATACCAAACTCTTAAACTTTACCACTAAACTAAATAGCCCAAAGTATTCATGTAATTCAATATATGTATATGTATATATTATA